AAAAAAAAACTAGACACATTTAAGAAATTGTTGTCATTAATAGAATCTCCTTAACCCTGAGAGTAAGGCTTATTTCGAATTCGTTATTGTACATAAGTAATTTTAAATATGCCACCACATGTTCAACATATTTAATAACGCTATTTTGATTGTTGAAATCTATGAAATTTCGTAAGTCTCTTTGGAACAATGACACAATAAAAAGCTGCAGCTCTCGTGGAAAAAAGATGAACAAAACGTCATTAAAGGATTAAAAGCTAAGAGATTTCTTAAGATGTTGTGTTCGATGGCTAATGACGGATGCTGATTCCTTTGTTTCTGCTTCTGCTTTTTCGTACACCAATGGGAGACGGTTCGTCTCTATGTAATACCAAAGACAATACTTAAGGAATTAATTTAGAACATCAAAGACATTTTCATTCGAAATTTTCAGAATAAGTTTAATGCATGTCAAAACTAGACAAAAATGTTCATAAGCTTCCTAAATATGGAGATATTAGGCTTTGATCAAGCAGTGTGGTCCCTTTCCCTCAAGGCTCAAGAGTGATCAATGCCTGATTCTCTTTAGAACAATACAATGACAAGCAGACTGGACAGATTATGACAATTATGAAAATTATTCACCAGGGGATAGTTGTGGGGCCCTACCAAATTTGAAAGAAATTGTATAACAATCAAACATGTATCCCAAGCTTAAGACTTCCTCGATTCACAAAGTGGCTTGAACAAGATATAGAGGACTTTCAATGCTTTTTATCTTCAATAGGACTGCCTCCTCTACATTGTATTGTGACAAAATAGGTAACTAAGATGTATTTGTTTTATCCTTGGTCTCCTAGTATCTGCTCTTTCTCACAGCAGTACATACCCGCTGAATTAATTTGCTGCTTCTTAACAGCTGTTTCAGCCTTCACTCAGAAAGTGAAGTAAATTAAATCTGAATGCCACATGCAACTTGGGTTGTAATCATGAACTTATTGTCTGACCAGGGAGTCGTCAAATCTGTTGTTACATTGATTACCTCTGGAATAGCTGACAATAACCTAGGGTAAACATTTTGTAACAAAGAAGGCATAGGCTGTACAATTGTAACATCCAACCTTTAACTTTTGAAAGAAATTAATGGAATTGTAGATCTCACTTTTTTCTTCACTTTTTTCCTTCTTTTCACCACAGTTCTCAGATATGATTGATTTTTTACTCTTCATTGTCACCTAATCTTTGTTAAAATGAAATTTTTAATTTCGAGTTTTCTGAGATTTCAAAAGATCCCAATTGTGTGATAGTTTTATGACTGAAGGTTAAATGTAAATGGAATATGAATACATAAATACTTCTTCTACCTTGTAATTAAGTGGCCTTGCTGGTTGCCATAATTAACATTATTAACTCACAGAACAATTCCCATATTAAAATTCGTAACATTATTAAAAGCTTTTTGTCTTGTTTTTATGACCAGCCTACCCTGTCAAAATTGATAGATTACATTTTTGTCATCTACAAAATGCACTTAACTGGCTTTAGTTAACACACACAGTGCCAATGTGTCTTTCCAGAATATACCCAATACTCTTGATAACATCATTCTTGCTACATACAATAATGATTTGTCATACATTTCTAGTAATGTTACTTTCAGCACAGAATTCAGTGGTTCAATCAGCAAACCAACTCACACCATATATATTTGCCATGAATTTACACGGCAAATATATTTTCATTTGGTGCTCAAAAAGAGAGACTGGGAGGGAGTGGACGGGGGGCACAAGTGAACATGGCGCCTCAATAGGGCAGGGGAGCTTCCTCTAGACAAGTTATTTGTATTACTGAGGTAGCAGCAGCAGGAATCTCGGTCACTTGGGACCCAAATAACTGCATGGAATGAGGTGTCTGTATCATCATCATCATCATCATCATCATCATCATTGATTTGCTATGTAAATAATAACAAAAGATATGCTAATAACATGCATGAGTAAGGGGAAAAACAAAATTCAGTTCTTGAAATTGTAAGTGGTGTAAAACAATATTCTTGGTTAATTATCAGCCCAAGCCAGTTGCCACGGGACCAAAGAGACCAAGAGGAAGACCGCGAAAATGGGTAATTGAGATAGTTTACACCAGTTAGTGTTATTTCCATGCTAGAATGATTAACCCTCAAGTAAAGTGACTGACCAATGGACCATCTGACCAATTAACTGACTGACCGACTGCCTGACAAACTAATCGACCAACCAGTGCAGTGGACATGTTTATATAGTCCCATTGAAGGCAGTCCTGGACTCACAATTTGCGTAATTGATGTTAAACATAACATTCCATGATCAATTCAGCTTAACATTTGCAGCTTGTCACCCTTATAGATTTTTCCCAAAAAGCTTGGTGTGTTATAAACTGGGTTTCTGCTGTCATCTTTGTTGCCATTGCAGGGATGCCGCAAAGAATGTCTGCGTGATGGTTGGACGTTTAGCAATAATGAATAGCAGTGATAACACTTGTCTCTTTGTTCAATTAATTTATAGCCTCCTCCAGATACATCACTACCTAAACGGAGCAGGGGAAGACCTAGGAAAAATGTGAGTCCTAATTTAGAAGTAAATGCAAAGTGGGATGTTGAGGTCTCAAACATATCACAAAAATAATCCTTATCCATCGAGTATTTCACATAATTTGAAAGTGGTAGGGGAAGCTACAAGAGCCATTTCATACAACATTGACCAAGTTTAGGTGTAAAGTGCCTGTTTTATATCATGTTTTAGCAAGCAATCCAACTTCTTTCATTTGCGATTGTAGATAAGACACACTTTCTTTGAAAATATTTATTAGAGTGCGTGGCATGAAGGTCGACAGATCACTTAGGGTCAAAAATCCTGCCTAAGAACATAACACCAGCACTCCAGCTGGGCTTTAGCTTGGACAGGTTTGTTAGTCTGCAAGCACGTTCTCATGGAGAAGGGGCTGTGGAAGGAGTGAGTTAATTCTGGGACAACCTAGCAAGTTCTCCTTTCCTCCAACTGCTACTATTGTCAAGACAGCTTGCTCTCAGGCCATGTGCTTTTTTGACATAAGATCCTCCACAAAATCCATTATGTCAACCTATGAACATCTCCTTTACTTAATAAGTAGTAATTAAAGGTTTCTCTTGCAGGCAAACCCAACTTTAGAGCTTCCCACTATGGTTGGCATGGCAGCAGATCCAACTTTGCAAAACGATAGACCACCAGTAGTAACTGCACCAATCGCAACTGATGTTGTTCCACCAGACGATTTATTTAATAATGATGATGCAGACTGAGCTCATCGTTGAGACACTGAAATACCCTTGTACAACATACTTCTACTCTACAAAGGTTGGCAGTATGAAGCAGAGTGTAATGGACAGAATTGAGAGGTTACTATGCAAAGTATTATATTGAGAGATGGAAAATGAATTGAAAGATATCGAACAAGTTTGGTAGAGAATGGTATATTGGTCGTGTTTGCTTATAAAATGTGACACATAATTATATAATATTATATATACATTAGGAATAGATCTTTGCGAATTGTGCACCACTGTTTATAATGTAACACAATTATTAATATATGTATAGAGTAAATTTAGAATATAACAGATTGCAGCAAAGCTCACTGGAGAACATTTCACATGCGCACTTAGTAATTGCTATGCTAATGGCTTAGATAACATTATTCTTGACATCTTTATGGTGTCTGCTACATCTTATAGATTCTCTGTGAATCCGTCATTGTCCTAATAATATTGGCTGTCAAGTTGACATTTGAGCAAAGTTGGTACAATTTCAATACCATTTAAAAGTATAAAGCTGTTAGAAGTAAAATTATTTGTCGCATATTACCATTGTATTGTGTGTATATAAACATTTTGAATTTAGTATTATCACTATGCATACATTTGTAGAGGTGTAATTTGCCTTTTAACTCATACATGGAATTTCTAATAATTCTCAATGTTGAAATTAGTATTAAAACATAGGTCAGTGTATTTATCATATTGTGATAATAATATTATTGATCATGATGAACTTGTAGAACCAGAATAACTTGTTTATCAGGTTCCTTATTGTCTTCAGCACCAGCAGTGATCAGCACCTAATTTTTCCTCAAAGTATCAGGTTATCAGAATTTAGGATCTGATTTAATTAGGAAAAAAATTCTGTTGTCCTAATTACTATAAAAATTAGTTGATACTTGTTCTCCTGCTAGGACAAGATGAGATAGAAATATTTTTAGTCAATAATAGAAGGGTTAGGTCACTCTATTTTTGGTGATTTGTTACATATAAATCCAGGGGGACTCC